TTTTTTCGAAAACATGCTCCAATCTATTCGTAGGGAGCAGCACATGCTGGGAATCGGGCCCAACGTCACATATGAATACATGTAAAAACAATTTATGAACAAATTGAGGTACCGGGGCCATTACCTGGCTTCGACTTGAGAGTATCCTCTAAGATCATGAACAAGCTACTGAAAATCGAGATAGATCAAGATAGATGATGAGAAAACTACGAATCATTTCTTACGATCACTAAACACCTCCTGAAATCCACCACAATTCTCTGAACACTCAAGTATCTAAGGGATTTCCAACAGATTATAACAAAGCTCACCAAAACGGACTTAATTCTCCGACAAACTCGTCCAGACCTCACACCCCCTATCCGCTAGATTACAGAGCAACGCGACTCACTCCAGCTCCGACCAGTGTTGTCCTGTGTCAGCAACCCCCAGTTGTCCCTTAGGATGACCCCGCATAGCATCCCCACATCTCTCTACAAGGTCTCATGCCCTCACCTTCGACAAGTTACAGGGCATCACCCCGGCTCTGGCCAGCGTCGTTCTGGCATGGAACAACCACGGATCCTGAATATAACAGTCTAATTTCAGCGCAGCTTCGTACAAACCATCAACAGTCCCTCAGAGCCTCCCTGTCCCACCACTGCCTCCACCAAAAAGGACTGCCCCTGATCACGAACACTCCTCATCGGCCCCAACTTGGGACAGACCCATTTCCCCCTTTTACTCCCACAAAGGCATCCAGTTCCCACCCAAAGTATGCCTCTGCCAACCCCTTGCCCTTATCTGCCACCGCTGGGATATGATGTCGGCCCATACATCTCCCCCAACCCCAGAATAGAGCATCCCCCAAAATCTGCCCCGTCTCCCTTCGGGGCAATTACCTCCCTCATTGTGAAGCCCTTGCAGAATAGAGCTCTCCCCCTCAAACCACCACCCCACCAGAAGTTTTTTTATTTATTTATTTATTTAATTTTTTTATTTTTTTTTTATAACAAATGATCCAGTCTATTTGTGGGGAGCAACACATGCTCGGAACCGGGCCCAGCGTCCCATATCGAATTGTACAGATCATTGAGAACATTTGAGATCATTTGAGATATCAGGGTCATTACCCGGCTTCGACTGGGAACAGTTTGTGAACACGATATGATTCAGAAAGCATGGGCAGGATCATGAATATCCAATGACCTATTAAGGAACTACTCATGCAATAGGCTGCCACAGAGGTCCTACAAGTGCTCAGAACCCTCAGGATCCCTAACAAACCCTCCAGAACGACGCTGGTCAGAGCTGGGGCGTTGCCCTGTAACCTGTAAATAGCAGGAGTGTGAGGCCTTGTAGAGAGATCTGGGGTTTGCTGAGGGTGGAAGGCATTTTAGTGGTGAACCGGGGGGGGCTGAAAGGAGGCGAGAAGAGATCAACTATGGTTGATGTTGGTCAGGTTGTTTCTGTCTTTGTAGTATAGTGTCCTGGTACAGGGAGGGCTAGGAGTTGTACTGGGATTAGGAGCCCAGAATAGCTGATATAGCATCATCATCATCATTAACATCATCATCATCATCATCATCATCATCACACCATTAGTTTCATCATCTGATTATTGTTATATTAAGCTTTTTGGTGTTCTGAAGTTTTGGCAGCATCTAGCATTCTTCCACATTCGGGATATAGGACTTCAGAGATGGTTGAACCTGGACTGATTTCAACTAAGTTGCTCTGTTCTGTTCCCTTGGCTTGCTGATGCCAGAACGACGCTGGTCGGAGCTGGGGCGTTGCCCTGTAACCTGCTAATAGCAGGAGCGTGAGGCCTTGTAGAGAGATCTGGGGTTTGCTGACGGTGGAAGGCAGTCTAGTGGTGAACCGGGGGGGTCTGCAATGAAGCGAGAAGAGATCAGCTATGGTTGACAATTAGTTAGGTGGTTTTGTCTTTGAGGTACAGTGTCCTGGTATAGGGAGGGCTAGGAGTTGTTCTAGGATTAGGAGGCCAGAATAGCTGATATAGCATTTTTTTCTTAATTTTTCATATTTTTGAATCACCATTCTCATTAGCATCATTAATCAGTGTCATTAGTATCATCATGGTCATCATTAGCGGTTTCCGTATGTTCATTCCGGGCAGACTGTGAGGACCCCGGCCTCAATCTTATTATTGGTAATATCAGCCTTGGGCACTGGGCCCGTTTAAAAAAAAAAAAAAAAAAAAAAAAAAAAAAAATCAAAATTCCGGACGTTGCTGTGGATTATTTCGTTCCCCTCCCCTCCATCTCCCCGTGTCCCTCCACTGCCTCCACCGAAAAGGACTGCCCTGATCATAAGCTCTCCTTATCGGCCCCAACTTAGAACATACCTGCTTCCTACTTCCACTAAGGCATCCAATTCCACCCAAAGTATGCCTCAGCCAACCCCTTACTCCTATCTGCCTCCCCTGGGATATGATGCCAGCCCATACATCTCTCCCAACCCAAAATAGGGCATCCCCCCAAAATTCGCCCCTACTCCCTCCAAGGCATTGCACCCCCCACCTTGTGAAGCCCCTGCGGCGTAGAGCTCTCTTGCTTAAAACCCCAACCCCCCACCCACATAAAACTAATTCATTAGTGCGCCCAAAGGGAAATTAGAAATAAATAGTGGAGAAAAGAAAAAATGAGCCTGAGGAGTTTTGGAAAATAAAATTCCTAAGATATGAGTGGAAGAATCGGAAATTTCTGAAGATTATAATGGAGAAAGGTAGATGAGAGATTTTTTTGTTTTTTGATTTGATGATGACGATGAACAGCACCCTGAAGATGATGATGATGAGGATGATGGTGACGACCAACTCACCTGCTGATGTGAATGCCTTGAAGAGTAGCATCTAATGATGACAAAATAATGATGATGATAGTAATGATGAAAATGAAGACAAAATGATGATGCTGATCATACTGAAGAGCAGCACGATCGGCGCCCTATGATTACAATTTGATGATGATGATGATGATGATGATGATGATGATGATGATGATGTCGGTGATAATGATGATGATAATGATGATGATGATGATGATGATGATGATGATGATGATGATGATGATGAAGACGCACAGCGCCCTGTGATGACAAAAGGATGATGATGGTGCTAATGACGAACACCTTTGATGATAGCCTAATTATGATGATGATAAGGGTGAGCAGTGCCCTATGACGACTCGCCAAAAGTGCCCTATGATGGTGAACTATTGATGATGGTAAATGATGCTGATGTTATGATAATGATGACGATGATACTCATGATGATCATCATTATGATGAGCAGCGTCGATAATGACACGACCCACGCATTGATGTTGATGACGAGCCGCACCCTGATGATGATCATGGTGATGACACCTGATGCTGATGACGAAACATTACTGTGATGATGATGTCGAACCACGCCCTGTTGATGATGATGGTGGTGATGATGATGATAACGAGCAGCACCCTGATGATGATGACGAACCCTTACTGTGAAGATGGTGTCAAACCGCGCCCTGTTGATGATGGTGCTGGTGATGATCAGCACCCCGTTGCTGATGCCGAGCAGCTCCCTGATTATGCCGACACACCCACTTCCTCATCATTGCAGTCGCCACTGCACTCGCACTTCAGTTTACCAAGAGCTGACTCCACTGTACTCCAGAGGCATCGACGTAGCCAACGGGAGTTAGTCCGTCCGCCGCACCAGCTTGTGACATGGTGTGGACAAGCGCCTCCGGTCACCTGTGCGTGCGCAAAGCGCCTGGTTGAGAAAAGAGATGGCCACCACCGCTGCCGTGTGCCTTCACCATGGCCCACCTGTGGATGTCACAACCCAGGGTGAGGCGCAGCGCTCGCGGTAGCGCCGCGCCCCGCCACTGTACTCCACCGAATGCTGATTATCTTTTCCCTAGCTGTTCGTTCTATCTGACCGCACATCATGTCCTGACATCTCCTCATCATCTCCACATCATCTCCACACCATCTCAATCTCATCTCCACATAATTTCCATGGCACCTCCATGTCACCTTCAGGTCATCTCTTTTTCATCCACTGCATGATGTCTCCATCTCGATCTATGGTCAGGTATTTTGCGTATGTAAAATGAATTTGCCGAAAATGCAAAAGCACAAAAATAAATGTCACATCATGTCCACGTCATCTCAACGTCATCTCAACAACTTCATCTCCACCCGTCTCACTGCCCACTGGTCAGGATGATCCCATGTCTCTCCTGCTCTCTCTCTCTCTCTCTCTCTCTCTCTCTCTCTCTCTCTCTCTCTCTCTCTCTCCAATAAATGGAACAAAACTCTCTCTGTCTCTCTCTCTCTCTCACTCTCTTGCTCTCTCTCTCTCTCTCTCCCTCTTTCTCTCTCTCTCCCTCTCTCTCTCTTTCTCTCTCTCTCTCTCCTTCTCTCTCTCTCCCTCTCTTTTTTTCTCTCCCTCCCTCCCTCTCTCCCTCTTTTTTGACGCAGTGGCTGTGGACTGCCAGCTTCGATTATCCTAGAATTCTGGGGGGTGTCTGAGTGTTTGTTGTTGCAGTGATTGCCCTGATGCACTGATGTTGCCTGAATATGTTGTTGCAATGTAGCNTCGAAGCTGCTAAATTACAAAAAGGAAGAAAAAGAAAAAAAAGGGAGCGTGACAGGACGCTCCCGACTTCGAACCCTGCTGGTCGCTGAGGACCTTGGAAGCGAGCGCGGCGAGTGACAGGCCTCGTAGCCCTTGGCTTCAGCGAAGGGTAGGGGCCCCTCCCCGGGTTTCCTTACAACGTCAAGGTAAGATTGGAGGAGGTGGAGGATATACCGGGTTCATGTGGAACTCGAAGAACGTATCATGTGGTTGCATTGTGTCACCAGAAACTTTGGAAGCATGTATCGGGAAGGGGATTGCGAGGTGGGTGAAGGGAAGGAAGGAACCGGTGAAACGAAGGGACATGGAGAAATGTTATGGGCAATGGGATTCAGCACAAACTCTGGCCATGACCACAAACGAGGTAAGGAGGGTGTTCCGGAAGTATACCAGACTGGTGGTTGTGCCTATTGACCAGAATCCGGAGGCAACACTACTTCTTTGTCCGATGCTGTATCACCGGGCATGTGTCGAGACATTTAACTGCAACACAAGTTTCCGAGTACTGCAAAAATCCGAGGCTCAAATTATCGCAAGGATGAAGGATGAGTATGTACGAAGGGGGTTGGACAGAATCGCACGATGGCAAATAGGTGGGAAGATAGGACAGGCGTACATACTGCCGAAAGACAAGGACTTGGGAAGGTGGAGACCAATCTCACCAAGTACCTTTGATCCGGCGCGACTGGCTGCAACAAGGGTGGGTAAAGCAATTCGCTTTATGCTTTTTGGGATAAAGAGGGCGGATCACTTTGATCTGAAGTCGATGGATGAGATGGGAGAGTGGTGTAAGGGAGTAGAAGGAAAGTTGAGGGCGTGTGGGGATGGAGTTCTGGCCCGGAGTTATGATATTAAAGACATGTTTGCACGGTTGTCTCACGAAAGCGTGCTAGATGCGGTGGAATGGGTGACGAGATACCATGAGAAGAAGGGAATGAAAGGAGTAAAGGTGAGCTTGAGAGGAAAGATGTGTGCAATGGTTAAGAGAATGCGGAAGGAGGAGGGATTCACGGTAATATCGTTTGATGATGTTAGGAAGGAGGCAGAATTCGAGCTGTCACAGTCCTTTGTTAAATGTATCGGGAACGTGTTGTCGCAACATTTTGGAATTCCGATGGGGAGGAATTCGAGTCCGTCTCTGGCACGTTTAGTCTGTGCGAAGGCCGAGTCCGCATTCATGAGGAGGACGTATGAAGTTGGACTTACGGTAAGAGGAATGCGGATGATCGACGATGTAGCCGTGATGGTCGGGTTCGCACCAGGTATCTCTGAGACTTTTCGAAGGGTTGTCCAGATGTTAGACGAATTTGAACGGTGTTATGATGAGAATCTCAAGCTGGTTCGGAAAGACGAGGGTGGGAATGCGTTTGACTTTCTGGGAAATCGGGTTATCATCGAGATAGAGCCAGTAAGAGTGAATGTGTTACCCAGAACGAAGAAGGACGCCTGAAGGTGCAGTCGATACAAGATTTTGCTTCGTTTACAAGAAAGGCATCCAAGAAGGCAACGATTTATACGGCCCTGGTCCGGATGAACCGAATCTGGAGTTCGAACCAGGCAATGATGGTTGCGATCGTTGCATTGATGATAGAAACCCGCCTCCAGGGATATCCCCCGGAGGTCTCTCTCGGGGCCCTAGCAAGATTTGCTAGGATGTCCGGAGGTCCGTGGGGGGTTTACCCAATGAGTACCCCGGGCTGGAAAAATATATGGACCCGAGAGGGGTGCAATAGTAGGAAGAGATGGGAATACGGATCGCGTGGGGAAAGGACTGTATTGGTGAATCTTGGAGGGTATCATTTTTTGTTTTTCAYTTGTTACGGTTGGTTTTCGGAGAGATAATCGCGTGAAGTAACTTTRTAATTTWAAAAAACAATTTTTKATCTCGGGRAAATAGTAGCTTGAARCAATTTTCTAAATTTTGTTTTCGGGGAATASTCGCATGAAGCAATTTTGGAATTTTCTAGATTTTGTTTTYGGGAAAAGTCGCTTGAAGCATTTTTGGAATTTTCTAAATTTTGTTTTCAGACCGTTAGGATAATATCGGGATTTGGGGCGAGACTTACTTCGAGGCGATCCTGGCTGACGTAGAACAGAAGAAGGAGAGGTACAGCACGAAAGACGGTCTATTTGAAGTAGTGCAACATAAGCGGAGGGGAAGGAGGGAAGACTCTTATGGGAATCACGGGGACGGGGACGGCAGGGTCGCAACCAAGATTAGAAGTTTGTAAAAGGAAAACGATCGTAAAGAGAGATCATGGACGAGTCAGAAAAATGCGCAGCGGAGAAGTAGCTGACTGAAGACGTCGGAAGGCGGACRCCCAAAGAGATCGATCATCGGGCATTGAGATCGCGGTGCAGGATCCGATACGCACCAAGGAGAGGAAAAGTGGGTGAGGGGGGAGAGCCGTGAGGAAAGCACATCRTGCAGCGGGAAGGTGAAGARCAGCGTAAAGGCGGCCSGACTAATCKGGATAKGAGAGAAGTGACTTGGCCGTCGGTYCRGGAGTTGCAGAGATGMTGGTTGAGGATCGGGTATCGAGGCGCAAGACAGAGCAGCRAATGGGAAGCAGTCRGCTGAGCAGGCCCAGGCAGATYGATCATCGGGTGATGAAATCRTGGGACAAGGATCYGGTACGCGCCGAKGAGAGRAGAAGTGGATAAGTGGGAGTTGGCGGTACYGTGACAGAAGCACATCGAGTATCGAATAGATGAGAAGAGCAGCAAGGCGGCGGCCTGACTAATCSGGATATTGGAGAGGTGAATCGGCCATCGATCGSGGAACTCTGAAGGAGAGTTTTGAGAATCGGGTAGCAAGGATGCGCCCGAGGAAAAGGAAGTAGTAGTGGAGAGGAGGAGGGAGGGGGAGACGGAGAGATTGGACAAGAGAGCAGTAGGTAGCAGAAGTAGGGAATAAAAAAACAGTAGCGTACGGGAGATTGAGGGGGAGGTAAAAGCTTGGGAGATAGGCCGAGGTAGGAACGGGGGAGGGGACGAGGTAGCTAGGATGCGCAAGAAGGAAAAAGTATTTAAGAAGGCGAAAATGACATACCTGGTATCCCGGTTCTGGAAGATGATACAAGCCTCCTGACGAGTTCGCTGAGTACGCTAGCGGCGAAACGCGTAGAGGCGAACGCGTACAATGGTTATTGTGAGCTTTTAATGAAGTTTTTGAATCAGGGATACTGGGTGTCGTGGATGGTGTGATGTGGTGCTTCATTTTGCATGGTTCTTACTTCCGATATCATTGCTTGTTCTCTCTCTAATCTCTGTGAACATGGTAACCGGTTGTGGTGGACATATCGCGGTGGCTACGTGGTTTTTGAAGCCGTCTGCTAAGGATCTTTCGGAGCAAGAAGACTTCGAAAGTCGGTGGGTCGGCGAGGAGGACCGAGGAAGGTGAGCGTGAACGTCTCATCTCGTTCCTTGCATATGAGAGCGTGGCAGGCATGATAAGACTAAGTAATACTATGCTGAAGAAAGTAACTTTTCGAAGCCTGATTGTCGTCCTAATTGGTGTAGGGGGGATTTCTGCCATTTGCGGATGTGTGGCGAGTAGGGAACGAACGTGGATCGTTGAAGTGCACATCATAGTTACGTGTAGGAGGGGGTAAGGGGATGACAGATCGAAACTTTAGAGAAGCAGAGTTTGATAGATTGTGGCAGGACATAGGGAATTTATTATACGATAGGGTGGTACCTATGACCTTTGTGGCTTTAGAATTCAAAATAGCGAAAGTACGAGAGAAGAATTCATTAGTATTCTTGACAGGTTTCTACCCAAGTGTTGTAGTGTGGGTTGTGTAGTGAGGGATAGAAGAAGGAGAAGAAGAAGGCAAACAAGGGGGGGAACGCGAGGATAGAAAAAATGCAGAACCAGGGAATTCCTATGATGACGGGTTTTGGGAACGCAGTACCGATATGTGGTGCAAACCAGCCTGGCACGATATCGTGCTATATATGCGGGAAGATCGGGCATTATGCTAGAAATTGTTGGGCTGGCGGGAATGGGAGACCGCCTGCATCGCAACCTCTAGTGCAAGCAGCGGGTATCGATGAGGAAACGAAGGAGTTTCGGGAGTATTGTCGAGAGAAGATTAAGAAGAGGAGGCTTGAGGAGGAGAGAAGGGAGAAGGAAGAGGAGGAAAGACGGCGGAGGGATGAAGAGAATCGGAGGGAACAAGAAAGGCTGAGAGAAGCGGAAGCACGGGAGGCAAGACTGGAAGCTCGGTTGGTGAAGCTTCTGGCGCAGCATACTAAGAGTAGTGCGAGACCCGAGAGTTAAGGGGTAAGGAAAATCACCAAGCACCAAGGCGAGAGTACTTCGGGAAATCAGGAGTTATCTGGATGAATCAGATAATGAAAGCGATGAGGTTAGGGAGGAAGCAGGGAAGCTCGTCGAAGCAATTGAGAGGAGGAAAGGGAAGAAGAAAGTGAATGATGATGAGGGGAGGTTATCAAGGATGAGAGTGGATAAGAGGGGGCACCGACGATATCCGGTCAAGATAGAGGATGAAGAAGAAGTACGTACTCCTCCAGAGGAGAGGAGAAGCGAGGAGGACCCAGGGATTCTGGACTTCGTGATAGAACTTCACCGACATCTGTCCGAGAAAAAGTATCGGAACTGCGCAAGATGTGCAATCGAGAAGGGATTGAATGGTCGAAAAGGGATACGGTGATCGGCGAGATGGTGAGATGCAAGGCGAAACTCGCATACGGGGAGCTGAAAGTGGGCGTATCTCACCACTTTTTGAAAAATAGTCAAGGTAAGAATGGAGGATTTGAAAAGGATGATGGATGATCGGGGAGATTTGGTAAGAGGAAGGAGGTTGAAGGCTGAGAAAGAAGATTGGATTTTTCGATTATTTCTACTATGCGTGATTAGTGGCAACAGTCCGTGGGCGAGAAAGTGGGTTGGGATGGCAAGTGGGAATGAGAAAGACATGTCGACCGCGAACTCGGGGGTGTATGTGTTGATAAGCCCGTGGTGCCGCCACTTTTATATTGGGTGCACATCCTGAGCCGTGATTACAAGGTGGTCTGACCATGTGAGCCAAGCAATCCGGGGGGATTTGGGGAATGCGCCAAAACTCCACGCATGGTTGAGGATCTTTGGGTGGAAAAAGTATTTGGTAATTCCGGTGGTAGATGGTGTTAAGGATCAGTTGGTAGTAGAGTCGGATTTGATAAAAAAAATCTCACCGGCGTTGAATACTCAGGGTAAGGGCAGGGAAGGAAAACGAGTCAGAAAGAGGAAGGGGAAGAGAGAAAGAGGGAAAAGAAGATCCAACGCGTTGGGAGAAGTGATGATCAGGTTTAATGATCGGGCATCTTTGGTGGACCTAGTGAAGGAAATGGAGGTAGGACCGGGGAGGCATCAAATCTCTTCATCGGGAGGGAGGATTTGGATGGATAGGTGGAAGATAGTGTGTGGGAGGATAGGGGAAACTACGATCTGGGTAGAGGGGGAAGAAACTCCGATCAAGGATTGCAAAAGAGTATTGGAGGAAGGGGGGTCTTTTCCAGTGGGGAAGATTAGAATCTTACCATCCGGTATAGAGCACCGGAAGCGGATGTTGAAAGAGGTTCTCAGACAACCATGGGGGATAAGAGATATGTACAAGAAGACATCCAGAGAACTGGTGGCGCTTTTTAGAACGGGATCCCTGTTCACCGAGAAGAGAACAAGAAGTCGGATCAAGACGATCGTGACGTGCATGGTAAGGAATAAGTTTGATTGCGAAATGAGAAGAAGGCCATGCGTGAAGGTTTCATTTTCTCCAGCGGTGAAAAAGGGCGTCGTTCGGGAGATCGCATCAGATCTGATTATACGAGGGGTGATGGATCATGATGTTGCCAAATTTGTAGCCGGAAGGGTAAGCGTGGTGGAAAGAAAGAGGCCTACCGTAGGGATGTGATCCACAATCAGTGGAAATGTGCCGAAGGTGCTGATGCCGAGTGTACGTGCCAAGATTTTCACCTACCAAGGAGTGATGGTCACGTTGTCAGGCGGCCGCAAGCACTGCGCCGCCTGAGATCTGCAGTTTTGGGACTTAGGCTCAGGGACGAGTCCGTGTTTTGATGGTGCTCTCGTGTGACCAGGCAACAAAAATTAGGGGAACTCAGGGCGCCCCTGATTCTAGGCGCACTGAGCCTTACGAGTAATCCTCAAAGATGGCGAGATAAGTGGCCACACTCGGCGCATCTAGGGACTGTCATTCCCGACGGCTTAGAGAGCTAGACTAGGATTGGCCTGCTGCGGAGAGGCATCGCGGGAACTGACTTCGCCGCAACGTTTTTGCGGCATACGACCGGGGCCGAAATGAGGCCTCAGATTTTTGTCATTTTTTTTTTACCTAAACTAAAGATGGGAGAAAAGATTGGGAACAGTAGGAGGGAAGAGAAAAACATAATATCCCTTAGTTCCCTTATTTTTTTTTGCGGCATTTAAATTTTGAGAAAAATACCTCGTTATTTTATGTTTCCGGCAATGAAATAGAAAACCAGAGAAAAAGATTTAAAATTGTAGGGGAGAGAAGAAAAG